ATTATAAAATAAAATACCATATATATATATATAATCTTCCAAAATATATCTTCATATAGAAAAATCATTTCACAACAAAAACTATATTTATTTGAATTACATTTGATTTTCTTTTATACTTGAGATTACATTTAATAATAAAAGCAGAAAAATTCAATTAACATAAGAGTTCTTTAAAATGTGCATACATTTATGTAATAGACGCACGATGAATTATAAAATCAACGTGTGTTGAATCCTTAAACGTACATGAATCCGTATGTAGAAAATAAAAATGGGTGGATGGATGGATGGGGGGTTTAGGACAATAGGAAAAGAACAATAAGTGGTAGCTAATTTGATGCTTGTAAATACAACACCAAATTTCCAAAAATAAATTTCGTCTTATCGATCGTGTAATTATTTTTGTAATACGTATGTTACTACACGTGTATATACGTTCTTCTTGTAATGTTATTTCGCGTTTCTTTTTTTAACACACAATACTCTTTCACTTTTTAAATGAGGAGGACGGACACGTGCGTCGCATATTATTTGTTTTCCTTTTCGCATACTACAACCAAAATCATTATCATCATTATCATAACACACCCATGTATGTATATATATATATATATATATATATATATTTTTTGCTATGACTTAAACAAAATTTATGTAATGTATATCACATGCTAATTTAATTATTATTATTATTATTTTAGTGATCAATTTTCTAGTAAAATTATATAACTTGTGACTTTTTTTTGTTTTATGAATAAATCTTCTAGTATCCTCATAATTTATATTATAATTAAGAAGAAGAAGAAAGAATGAAGAAATGATAACGAAATATTAACGTCACGATTTGTTCGTTAAAAAAAAAAAGAAACAAATTCGAATCGTTTTCTTATAATGCGTATCCTACAATTGTTTAGAATAACACACTTTCTTTTTTTATCGTATTTTTGATTTATAAGAAAAAAAAACAAAAAAAAATTGAAAACAAAAAATTTATTTTAAATGAGAACACGTCCACGTTTATCCAAGAATTTCCTTCTTTTATTTCGTAATACTTAATAAGACTACTATCCTTGAAATTAATTTTTATTTTTTATACTAGTTGAAACATTCTATTACGTTTCAAGAAAACCGTGTACTATTTTATCGAATAATATTTCACACATTTTTCTTTTTAATTTTACCTGTTGAAAATATAACTAATAATTATGAAAATAATTCAAATGAATAAACAGTTTTAAAATTAGATCGACATATAGTTTCTTTGTTCTAGATTATATCAACAATATATTTTCCAATTAGAAATAACAACAACAGAACCATCCAAGTAATAATAATAATAATAATAATAAACCATATCTATATATATATACTAATGTTTTCAAAACATCAAAATGATAGAAGAATTGGAAATATTTCTTAATATATATATAATTACAAATTTGATCACAAATTAGATTTAAAAATGTTGTAAAATATTTTAAGAAAAAAATGTCAATATTTCTCACCGAATATTTTACTATCATCCTTCTTCAAAATTTTATTTAATTTAATATCACTACTATTATCGTTCATGTTTTCAATCGAATAACACAATTAATTTATAAGAAAATCTTCGAACAAACTAATTAAGAATTCACACTACTGCACTTTATTTAAAGAAAAAAGAAATATATGCAAATTAGTATACTATTAACACTATTATCTATTGCATCACAATAGAAAATTTAATCACTTATATTTTCACTCAACAATTAATACAAATATACGTTGTTAGAGTGATCTCACAACGTTTCAATTTGATTTGAATGTTTGCAATATTAAAAATATATGAAAAATCAAAATGATTGTTTGTTCTCTTGATCGTTGTTGTCAATGCAGAAACTTCATTTAATTTGCTTTGGGTTTGGATGGACGTTTATACTGAAAAGATTTCAGTTGAACAAGTGGGGAAAAGAGAAGAGAAAGGTAAAGATGGAACTTTGGTGGGGAGTTTTCTCAAGAAAAACTGAAGGTTGTGTGTACTTGTTTCATATATATGTATATATATATATATATAGAAAAAGAACTTGATCATCTATCTTCAGAAAGATCTTTCCAAGTTTTTTCTTTCTACCTCTTTTCCCAAATTATATATTCCCTTAAAAAATTTTGGAGACCAACGAAAACATGTGTTTTTTGCTTCATTTTTTAAAAAAATAAAAACGTATAAATCTTCATAAATATGATCAAGTTCTTGTTGCCCACCTTTATCCATAATTATCTTCTTCAATAATTTTGAGACGAACGAAAACCTCCTTTCTTTGTCCTAAAAGAAAAAAGAAAAACAGAAAATAAACAAACGAACACTATGCAAGTAATATTTTAAATTAATCAATACGAATTAATTGAAAAACTTTAGAATAATTCTAATAATAATTAAATTATAGATAAATGTGTTATGAATTCAATTATAAATATAATACAAATGATTATAATGATTACCTTAGACATTTGATGATAATTAACACGTTTGGGTTGATCTCAATTGAAGATTATTTATTTAACATCATAATAAATAGTGTTCCTATTATTTTATTAAAATGTTATATTCATAATAAATAATAACGAATAACTTTCTATAGGAAAGTAATGGGTTTTTATAGAAGAAAATAATAATAAATATGAAATAAATTACCTGAATCAGCAAAACAAATTGTGACGACGTTGCATGTGTTCAATAAGTTAAACATATTTTATTAAACCATTGATTGATATTTAAACAAAACAAAAAAACATACAATAAAGCCTGAGATATTCCCCATTGCCACGTGGCAGAAGAAAAAGTCGAACGTCAACCTTTGGCGAAAGCCAAGAGATTTCTGCTACTTGCGCATGATTATTGCTTCACTTGTTGCAAAGTAGAAAGGGAAAGTTTTCACCTATGTTCCTTTCTTCTTATTCGTCTTCTTACTCATCGTTTCCGTTATAATGATCGAGAATGAAACGACAAATATTTCTGAATCGTCTATTTAGATCACGTTTATTAGTAACACCTGGTGAAAGTTTTTTTAATGCTGTTGTCATTCGCTTCATATTTCTTCTTAACTATATTATTTAAATTTATATATATATATATATAAATTTTAAATAAATATCAAACATCATCATCATCATCATCATTATCTTCTTTGGGTATAAGATGATAAAATAAAATATTGATTTTGTCAATAAATCCTGTAAACGTAATGTAACAAAGATAATAAAGTATTGAAATATATATATGTATATAAAATATAATAAACGATTAATAATTATTAATACCAAGAGACAATTGTTTTCCAAATTTCTTTTTCTTTCTTTGAGATACGAATATTTATTTATTTATTTATTATAGTTCATTCAAAGGATTCTATTATTTATCTTCTTTTTAAAAACTCGATCATCATCTATYTTGTTCTTCATTTTTCTTTCAATATTGTTTTCTATAAAAGAAAGAAAAAAAAGACAAAGCCAATAAATCATCATCATCATCTTCTTTGGGTATAAGATGG